AATGTAATAATTGTAAATTACACTTCAAATTTAGAAACGATAAAAGCTATCATTCCACAAGGAAGCATACTACATCCTTTATTGTTGATAATTTTTATAAATGATCTAAAACGGGTCAAATTGCACCAGTCCTGAATAACTAATTACATCTTCCTTGTATTAGGAGGTTCAAATGTAATCGAATAAACAATACACGCTGGGAGTCAACTGGAAAAAATAGCTGATTGGTTTTGTAATAACAAACTTAACGAAAATAAAAAAAAACAGATATAATGATTTTTAAAACAAAACAGAATACCCAAGACTTTCCACATACAATTACCATTACATTAGCTGCAAAAACCAGGGAATTAGTCAAGACCACTCGTTTCCTTGAGATACATATCGATAACACCTTAAGTTGGTCTGTTCAGAGAGAAAATGTATGCTATGGGATCAAATTTGAATTAAAATTCAATCAAGAAAATCGTTAAACATAGGCAACCATGGGCACGTTTACTTCTTTTTCTGGTAGTGCGTAATTCTGCTAAGAAATTTTAATTAGAGGGTTGGTAGTGAGAGGGCTGCTTGCTTTGTAGAGGGTGGGTAGGGGGTCACTTTTGGTTTGTTTGTTGTGAGTACAGCATGCGGTAAGGAAGCTAGGTTAAGTTTAGGTGGTTTGGTAGTTGATAAAAGGGAGAAATCCTTTGTTTAACAACAATTAATCGTAACGACGACGACGAAACAGTTTCCCCAGCACGCGTAACTAATTCTTACGGTTTTTCCGAGCGGAAATGAGTGAATTTTTGACTGACGCTAACATGTGGTGTAAATTTGTTTTACTGTTTATAAATTCACAGTTCATGTTAGGATTTTAATCGTTGACTGGTTCTAACACAATTTAACTGACATTAGATTTGTTCAGACAGAGCACTTGGAGGAATTTTCATGAAATTCACTTAGTCAGGATTCACTCCTTGTTTACCAAGTTACGAATAAGTTTCTGGTTACATTATATCACTTCTTAATTCTTCACACAAGATTGCTAATAGGTCATTTACGGCAGTTAATATTAGCCTAACGTTATTCCACTCTGGGAAAATGACCTTGAAAGTAAGGTAGAATTCATAATGTCGTGGACTACGGTACCGGAGGGAATTATACATTTTTCCCTTTTATCACCGTTATTATCATCACATCACCGAGATCTTTTTCTCGCAACGTGAAAATTATATCACTTGGACATATTCTCCTGCAACGTGGAAAATTACCGAGAACTTTTTCTCGCAACGCCTGATACATTATTTGTGTTGTTTATTTATCGTGTCTTTTGTTTAGGATAATCTGGGGACAGGCCACGATTTAAACTCTCAAAGCTAATTGTGTTAAGTAACTAAACACTTGGATGGCATCATTTAACATAACGTAAATTCTTTGTTTGAATCATTGATAAAGTGTGGCATCATTTAACATAATGTAAATTCTTCGTTTGAATCGTTGATAAAGTGTGGCATAATTTAACATGAGGTAAATTCCTTGTTCTCGCGACAGTCATGTCGAAAGACTATTTTCGAACCGAGCACATGTTTGAACTGTAGAATCTCGTTGAACAAATTAACAACATTGTGGGTCACCTAGGACGTGCATTTTATTCCTTTGATTTAGAGTTTAGACCATTATTTGCACAGCGCCACAGGATTGATCGCATTTCTGGGAGACATATTTTGACGCATTACTTTGTTTGAACGACGCACTCGTCCGATGCCATTTTGAACCTCCCGATTGCCTATTATGTTTTTTTATGTTTGTTTGAGGGAATGTAAAACAATGGACCACAATGCAGCTGAATAACTTCACTTTTAAAAATTAACCAATAACTCCAATGGACATAAAATATTAAACTCATGTAATTTTGTTAGCTTTGCAGTTTTTCACCTCATACAATTTTTCTCTATCTTACAAATTTAACTTCAGTAATTTTCTTTGTTGTATAATTTAAATTGAAGGTAAATTTTCATGCTCTGCAGTTTCTAACCTCACGTAATTTTTGTCTGCACAAGTTTTACTTCACACCAGAACTTTTTTTTGTTTTTATAAATCTTTGCTAGTTTTTTTCCATATAAATATTTTGTTGATTAATGCTTCCATCATATAAATTGTCTGATATTCAATTTTAATGTCAGATAAGAATTCTTTGCTGTTTAAAAATTTCACGAGAGTATATGGCGAATTTAAATGTTGTTTATTGCTCTTTTTGAAACTTTAACACTTGTTCAGTTGTAGTTTAATGTCCGAGTTATAGAAATTTTATATGTATTTTATAGAAACATTTAAATGGAATTGAGGTAAATAACACAATAATACGTGAGGGAAGCGGAGTGCGCGGTTCCTTGTCGATCTGGCGGTCGCGCCATCTGCGCAAATGATGCAACCCTAGAAGTCAAGGGCGCTGGGGCTGACGTGACGCTGTCGGCTTTGCGATAACCGACCGTAACAGCCTGCTCGTCTAGGCACGTTTATTCGTGATAGAGGGTTGCTGAGCGGCAGTGCTTTGCGATAGAATAGAATCACCGTCGGGGGTAGGAGAACAGTCACGACCAGGAGCCCCAGACTCCGCTCGTGCTACAACACCCCCATGGGTAGTTTTGCTGTGCTCCAGAATAAAGCACACAATCTTATAACGCTCTGGTGCCGCTGCCGCTGCACAGTTTTTTTATTAGAATTTTGTTCTCTTGTGGACTGCCATAATTTTAAATTTACCGCCACACGCTCGTAATAACTTGCGTGTATTTGCATCCAGTTACTTTAATTCAGATTTTTCTTTGTTTTTATGAAATTTGTGATATTTAAATACATATTTGCATTGATTCAGAACGTTTAAGTTAATTTCATCCGAAGTTTTTTTTTTGTAGCCGAGATGTCTTCAATAGGCACAACTTAGTAGCAGATTTTTTTTTCTTTTTTTTTTGTCAGTGGAGGAATAAATGATTTTGTGTCTTCCATAAATTTTCAATTTTATTTAGCGGTGTACTTTTCCAACCTTGGGGTCCACCACTTGCATCTGAACGCATTCCACAACAAAAAAAAAACACACAACGTAGGGTCCCATTTTTTTAGACAAGCACAACCAAGGCCAAATTTCAGTTCTATTTTAAAATATGGGATAATATTTTGGAAAGCCTAGAAGTAAATAAGATTTTTTGATTCAAAAGAATACGTTCAGAGCTTTATGCAGTTTAAGATTTAGGCAATCTTGCAGAGCTATTTTTAAGTCAAATAAAATACTGACCCTAACAGGGCAGTGTGTTTTTTATTGTTGATGTATTATTTGAGCACAACGAAATATTCGCAAATGAAATAAAATGTCACTATCGTAAGAAGTAAAAGGATTACTACTATTACCTTAACATTTTTTAAATCGTCCCCAAATAGGCTAAATTTACACTTGAAGTTAACCCTAACATCGTTAAAGAAACCTAAAAACAATAATGTTCCCTTTATAGATGCTTGAGGTACACTCAAAGGCACACCACTCTAATAAATTACCTAAAATTTCATAGGTTTCTAATAATTGAATTAATAACGAATTATTAATTTGCTTTATCGAAGGTTTTGCTAAGATCAGCATAAGTCCCTTAACATTAACATAAACAAGTAGATTGGTAGAGATCGTGTACAAAAAAAAAAGTTGTTCCATCACAATTACACTCTTAAAATGGGAAATGATTTATTCCATATTATATCTTGTCAAACATATTACTTACACATAGACATGACAAGATTCATTCGGATCTGTAGTTTTCAATAGAAGTGGCCGAGAAAAGCTTGTGAATTGATAAAACATGAATTCCATGGCGAAGGAAATGTTGAATAAGATGTGATTTGATTGCAGTTGGCCATCTCTTCTAAGGTTATATGGCAGCAGTAAAATCAGGTTCATTGTGTAAAAGTCAATAACCAATGCACTGAAGAAAAACCGCATTGGTTGTAAATAACATTACATTGGCGCAAAGTGGCTGTCGGGGATGAATGGACATACTCGGAAATTTTGTTATAAACCGAGTAGGGAGATAGAGGGAGCAATTGTGTATTAAATATCTACATTTTTTTAAAAACTAAGTCAAAAATAAGTATTTCTAGTTTTTACCAGTATCAGATAAATAAAACAGTTAAATAAATCTGAAGGCGGTTCTCTCGACATTTAAAATTTCAGCACGTACCAAATGAATTATTGGAATATCCGATGCCGCTGCAAACGACCTCATTAATAGGTCTTGCAAATTCTATGCTTCCATATAACCTTAGCAGTCTATCTAAATTCCATATTGTACTATTAAGGAAACAGAACACGTTCAAAAATATTCAAAAATCAGCTTCATTTCCTCCTAAAATTGGATTGCAGTAAGTATCAAATTTATATGGTGTTTTTAAACAGAATTAATGTCGACTGAATGTATTAACAGATAGTGATTTACCTGTAAGTATGCTTAAATTATAAATGAAAGTATGTACGACTACATTTTAATTACTTTCTTTGAACAAAATTATCTCGTCTCTTAAGATTTAATGAATATTCATTTTTCCGTAACTCAGGAGCAAATTTGAATAAAATTAATTTTTTCATTACCTTTAAATTCGTCCCTACGAGTTTACAAATGTGCAAAAACTAGCCAAAACAAAATCGTGAGAACGACGGTCAAATTCTGCAAATCCGGCAAATTATTACGCTTTATTTCGTTCCCAAAGAAGAGTGCGATCAGCAGAACTTTTGCCGGTTTAAGAGAAAAGAACTGATTTTATTTTCAGACGTAATATTAAGACAATTTATCGCCACCATTTACAAGACGACTCATGTAACAGAAGATAAGTGTTCCGACATTCAGGACAAAAGAGCATAATGGAGTATCTTGGCCGTTTCTCAATTCACTAGATCGGCCCTTTGTAGGATACTTTTATTTAATTCCACGCACAGCGAGCAATATCTATCCATCTATTGAAAGTAAATAAAATATGGAGCTTACCTGCATGTTTATGAGAAAGCATTCCTTTGTATCTTCTGCTGTATATTCCACACAACTCTAGTAAATTACTTTGTTGTTCACAGACATCACTTTATGCTGAGCTTTTATCTCCATTTTAGTTTTAAATTCAATTTAGCGCTAAATCACGATGGACGCCTGTTTGCTATCGATACTTTTCTAGACGCACTGAACACTTTCATTTTAATTACTTAATTTAATCGATGCTTCTTCTCTACTTACACTTAGTAATTATTAAAAGGTATCGTGCAATACCGTCGTTGGAAATTAATTAAACTTTCCTTCCAACACTGAAAAAAGAAAATACAATTTTACGTTTTATTAAAATGAAGTTGAATGGACAGCTGTGACAATTTTCAATTTTCTCAGACAATGTCTTCGTGATATATGGTCTTATGTACAGGGCGTTTCGAAGTTCAAGACAAAGAAATCAAATTAACGTAATTTGACTTTCTATCTAACTGTGAACATTTTAACTTATTACATTGATACTAAAAGAAATGAGAATGTCTCAAGCAAAGACAGTTTAGATAAATAGTAGTGTGCACCGGCTGATTACAAAACAATCGTCTATGAAAACAACGTTTACTGATAACTAGAAGACATTAGAATTACGAGGAGACAAAAAGTGTTTTAAGGTCTGACTATTGACATATCTTCTAGGTCATACAATTTAAGAGTAAGTTAAAAGTCGTGCGTTTTCTGCTAATAGTAGATTAATCTGCAAGCACATTCCAAAGTAGTCAAATCAACGAACAGAAACCAGTAAACTGCTGTTGAAAACTATGTGTGTGTTATTTTGTAGCATTTATGGGAATAATAATAACAGTGATGTTTGAACAAGCAAGCAATCTGAACATCTCGCACCTGATGCAGCCAACACTACTAGAAAATTGTTGCGAAGGAAATCCAAGAGTAAATAACCTGCAGTCAACAAAAGTCGCCCTCTGGCTGGTGCGTGATGATAAACTATATTTCTCGTTTCTTACTGTACTTTATAAAAAAAACAACATGCTCCTTTGACGCCAATGAAAGAATGATTTTATTTACAACCAGTTGAAAGTGTAAAAAATGGGTGTACGATCATAAAAATTAAAGAAACTGCAACTATGTATACTGTAATCTTATATTCACGATCTTTTTAGACCTTAATAGGCATTGTTTTTTTTTCTCCTTTTCGTTGGTTATTATGAGAGACTGGTGTGTTTTTTTACTGTCATATCTGACATGTATCATATATCATATATGTACTAGAAAAACAGTGTTTTTCTTCTTTTAATCAAACAAATAAATTACGCTGGAAATGCCAAAAGTAATTTAATTGTAAATAAAACTTCTGATGAAGAAATATTATTTGCGCTTCGGTAAAAATCAGCTTGAGTTAAGACCGACGCAAATAAGTTTAAGGACTTCCTACTGGCATATTTGATGTAACTTACAAAGACCTCGTAGATGTTTGTTTTCAAAATATTTTTATAAGTGAGCCGTGCACTTTGTTTCAAAAATGTTTGTGACCTAAGACGAAAACTTATCAAATCCATTGTCTGGCAAAAGAAAATCAACCGAAATTTTTTATGATTATGTGATGATATTAGAAAAACTGCAAAGAAGTTCGAGAAATATTTTTATATTTGGACATTTTGAATACTGAACATTTCCTTCAAATCTGTTATTTTCATATATTCTTAAGAAACTTACTACAGCTAAGTGACATTTTCATGTTGAATACAGTGACTTGGTAAATTGATGTTTACAAGTGAGGAACAAATAAAAAATATCATCTAATGATGCAAAACTTTTACATGCTAATACGCATCAGAGAGGAAGAGTGATTTAGAATATTACTCCTATCAGTGTATCCCAATAAATTTAGTACTATACAGTTAAAAAAATCGAAGGGTACATTGATAAATTACCCTCATATTTTAGCTCATATACAGCGTGTTATTGAAAGGTACGTACAAAATAAAATCGACAATTGATCTCAAAGTATGGGTGCTAAAAGTTAAAAAAAGTTTAGGTAAAAGTGTTCTCCTTTTAGAGATAAAAGTTATTAAAATTTATGTGCAAATTCGTTGTACGCCCCTGATAAAAACATCATCTTTCGTTTCTATAGCAACATTTATTCTCGACAAAAGTTTTATTGTTACAGTTGCTAGGATTTACCAAAATAAATTAGTTCTACCTATTTATCCTTCAGTAGCGTCTAAAAAGGTTGGATAAGGGTTAATTTTCCCCTTATAATTTTGATAGGACAAAATAAGTTTTTCATACTTCTTAGACTTCGCGAAGAACTGTCCATTTTTTTATACGTAGCTTTCAATAACACCCTGTATATAATGACCACTTTATGTCAATAGGATCGTCTCCTTCAAAATCTAGTGTTATGTTTGCTCAGAATTTCTTCTTGTTTCCTACTGGTCCCACTGAATTTGAAAGTATAATAAAAAAAATTGGCACAAAAGAATCTGCTAGCTTCGATGGTGTTCCCTGCAAAATTCTAAATGGTCTTCGGAAACAGATTTCTCCTATTCTTAGCGCCATAATAACCAATGTTTTTCTCTATAAGGCATTTTCCAGAAAAGCTTAAAAATGCATTGGCAACTCCTCTGTATAAAAATCAGGGATCGAAGTCAGATATCACACTATCAACCAACTTCAATTTTGCCCGTTTTCTCTAAGATCTTTGAAAAATTATCTATAGTAGTTTGTATAACTATTTAGTTGATACGAGAAATCAACACGAATTTGTTAAAGGAAAATTTACCCACACCGCTATTTTCAAACAACTTCAGTATGTATGGGTATGTATGGGTATACATTTTGATATTCCTAAGGTCTTTGATAGCTTGGATCACAGCATCTCATTTTCTTAATTGTATTACGCTGATATATTAATTATTATACAATAATAATCTAGCAAACAGATCTCAAAATTTTCGTATCAAATATCAGATGAAGTGAGAACTGAAAACCATATTATCGGACCCAGAAACTATAAATAAAAGCATTCCACAGGAATCCAATTTGGGCCCTCTTCTATTTTTAATAAATCTTTTGTTAAATAAGGACAAAAATGTTGCTTTGCAATTTAAAATCGGTTCACGTATATGAAACGTTTTAGTTAAGTTTGGCTCATCTACTGTGCCAGTTGTTATCCACGTAAGGTTGTTAGGGCTAAATATCGATACTATAATTCAAATTTTTGTATTCATGTTGTTATATGATGGGAAACTTGTGCAACAACGTAAAAGTTCAATTCATACTCTCATACGGGCTTATTTTTTGGGAGGTTATCATCAACTTTTTATAACACCAAAAAATTATAGCATGCTTAAAAAATGTAGGGATTCTTGAAAACTCCTTTTTAAGTTACCGGGGAATTTAACCATACCGTTAGAAATAATTTAAATAATAAGATTTTATAATTACTACCAAGTACCAGAGAGTGTAATTAATAATAATTAATTTAATAAAATTTAAATAACATTTATAGTGAACCAAGAGTTATAAGGTTATATGGCCATCATAAAATCATCCCATTGTGTCGAAGTTAAGTTGTTTACAATAGAAAAGGTTTTAGGGTCGTAAATAACGTGTCCACTGCAGCTCGACCGGCTCGTGTGGTTTCGTTCAGGGGCGGCTTTCACTAAATATGAAAATCCACCACTCCACTATTTCTTTACTACCTGCAGCCGCTGAGGGTTCCGAAATAATCACTCGCTTTGAAAGCCGGCCCTGTTAAATATGAGCAAGAAATGTTTAGAAGATGATTTATTGCCAACCGGTAAGCTTAGTGCGAACCACACAAAGCGGGTATTTATTTGCGGTCAACTACTTTTATGATGGCCATATAACCTTATAGGTCTTGGTTCACTATACTAATGTATATTTTGGAGATGACGTCGTCCCATTGGTGATGGAGATTTTGGTTAGCGTTTTATGATCTATATGATATTTCTAACATATTTACATCAAATTTTATAACAATAGGTCCGGTCGTTTCCAAGATTATGTATCTAACTAATAAAATTTGACACAGACGACAAATAGACAGACAAACGGAAACGGGAGACGTACTCTAGGGGTCACGAAACGTCGAAAAACATGACAGGAATTAGTCGTCCAAACAACTCGATAACAATATTTCCTTACCTTTCGCTCGAAAAGTAAAAACTACTTAAGAAACACCTGTTAGAATGTTCTGTTTACACAGTTAGATTTTTTTAAATGGCCAGATTAAACTGAATGACGAATTGTATATACTGAGTAGAATCTACGACTATAAATTAGTAATAATAGCACCCTTGAAGAAAAAAATACATGAAATAAACTACAAAATCATGATACAATTTGCCAATTCCTGCAACTTTCAGTCAACAAAAATATCTAAATTTTGCTATATTTAAAATTTAAGTTGTGTTTTCCTGTTGGCGCAGTCAACAGATTTTTTTTAAATTTAAGTGTATTTTCTAGCAGTATATCTTTTATTAATGATTAATTGATTAGTTATTAATTATTACATTCGCTCTTGTGTTAAAAAAATAATTTCTGAAGTTTGTATACTTTCAAATATCCAGTAAAGCTATCAAATTCGGAATGTGTAATTAATTAGTTTAATAATAATGTTTCTTAGTGACATTTAAGTTAGCAATAATTAAGTTTCTAATGTTGATTTTATCATCCAAAATGTGCTTTTGGTTTACTTTAGAAAGAAAATAAAAAATTGGCGACCAATATTTTTGGGAACCTAGGTCGGAGAAAACTACTAAATGTGAGCAGACCTATCGTCTTCTATCATATTTGTCGTTTGGATTTTCGTAGTTCGTTTAGTTGTTCGTGCTTCCAAGTTTGGATCACCTCAATTTGTTATAACCTCGCTTTTTACTGCCTGTACGTGAGCTAAAGAAGTATTCTAATGGAGTCCACCGGCCAACTACCTACTCTTATGTTTTCTCGACCTTTCGTGACCCTTATTAGACTAAGGATAAATAAGTCTCCAATTTCATTGTCAGTTTGTCTGTCTGCCGTCTGTACGGATATTTATTAGACAGATAATCTCCTAAAACTACTGGATCGATTGTTCAAGTTTTGTACGCATATTGGAAATATCGAAATTTGGCAAATCATCCATCCCCACCAACAATTTGAGGACGTCGCCTTCAAAATTAGCAATAGTAAATTTATTTTTATTTTTGTAAAAAAAGATACTCCTGCACTTGTAAGATACAAATCTGTGTTGAGTTTTCACCCTAGACATCCCAATTTTTTGGAAAAAAGTCAAAATTAT